AGATCTATCAAAATAACAGGGTACACATATTTTCAGATCTCGAATTTGGGATAGATGCTCCAACTAGAGGGTCAACACTCAACAAGAAGCAGAGCTACATCATGGAGGAATTTTGCTTTACTGACTAGAAACTTGTGTTTAATGTTGGTTTTAGTTGAGAACCCTATTCCAAATCAGGAATGTATGTGGCCATTTTGTATAGTAGTGTTTATTAATCAGCATTTGATCTTTAAGTGGCCATTCCATGGTTACAGTATATATATACACATAATACATCTAATTGATCGTACAAATGTGTAAGATGCAATTGCATTGTCAGTGTCGTTTTTATATGTAGTCGCTTGCTGTTACGTAACACAGTCGGTGTAAGATGCAACAGCATTGTAAGTGTAATTTTTGTGTGTGTTGTCGCTTATGGTTACCTAATACAGTCGAGGAACTAAACTTCAAAATGTTATGTTTATTGCTTATTACCTATTCCATATTTATTATTGAATCCAAAATATTTTCCTTTAATGGGAAACTGTCAAGTTCGATTTCTCACCTCGCCTAGATCAAGCACATCTCGTTTTTGTGTTGCGGTTACCTAATACAGTCGAGGAACTACAATTCTAAATTTTTGCTTATTACTTATTATCTATTCCATATTTATTCTTGAATTCAGCATATTTTACTTTGATAGAAAGCTGTCAAGGTTCATATTCTCACCTTGCCTAGATCAAGCACATCCTTGCTACAATAAGGGTACTCTTAAGTGCCATCCACATCGGCATTGGGCCTCTTCAGTCGCTCATCGTCTACTTGGGTGGCTGTCCTGACTCGTGGCGTTCTATTTCATGGTACTAAATCTTCTTGGGCGACAACCTAATCCTAGTTGGCCAAGCATCGGACAACAATCTCCTGCACCAACACCGAGGCTGAGTACTGAGCCGCTACACACACTGTAGCCAAGTGTCGTTGGTTGCATCAGCTGCTTCAGAAGCTTCATGTCCCAATTGCTTCTGTGATCGTCGTTTATTGTGACAATGTTAGCGTTTATCTCATCAATTCCTTTTTGCCGACCAGCGCGTGTGCGAAGCGCAAAATGTGCTCGTGGAGTTCCTCGATGCGCATAGGTAATCACGGCAGAACCGTATCGAGCTGCTGATGTGCGAGCGCTCTAGGGTGGTGAGCTTGAAATCCAACCAAGAGGGTGAATGGCCACCACATGGCTTTCATGTACAAGTGGCACAATTTATGTATCAACAGCGGCCTCGAGGTTGGTGACACCTATTTCTTCAGTGTGATCCATGAGGGCATCGATTGCGGCGACGATGATGATGAAGAGTGGGAGCATGATCAAGAGGATGATGATGCGAAGTTCAAGGTGGAGGTGTGCAAGAAGAACAACAGATTCTTCTCGTAAACTCAATGCTTGATGTGCCACGATAGTTTCAAGAAGGGACCTGCCCATAGTATGAAATCGCTCATACATCTACCGAATAAAATTAAACTAAATTAAACTCAAAGTAGGCGATTTGCCCACAGACGACACCAAAACATTCTTCTTCTCTTTCTTGGCACAAAAACACCACATCAAACCACCTCTCCGTGTGATTTCACCGCCGGATAAAAATGAATGAATTATGATCCATCGATGAAAAGTTTTTTTTGCTGCTAGTGTAATACCAAGGTTGCACGCTGCTCTTTCGGCCCGGTGGTGAAAGCACTTTTCACTATGGGGTCAATTGGACACTGCCCATCCCCTAGCTCTGGAACCGTGGTAAAACAGTTTCACTGCCTGTTCAACAAAATCTGAAGGTGAAAAGGTTGCGGGGATAATGGTTTCTATAGTAGTAATTGGTCGAGATCAGACTTGAAATAGACTGAAAAGCAGTGCCAAAAAGCACGCTCCGGATGATGGGGTTGAGCCCTGATGGATCATTCAGTGATGCTGCTCAATGACTTAGCACAGTAATGCAGTGGGTGCCATATAATCCGGTGGAGGACTGTGTGACCTCACAGATCATCCAGTGATACCACGATAAAATTGGTGACTAGTTATTCAGCTTACTGTGGAGCATCGTATGATCCGGCGAAGGACTGTGTGACTTCAGTGAATTATCCAGTGAAAGTCCAACTTGACTTAGTGACTTGTTGTGTCATGGTTACTAGTATGCGCCTTATGATCATGCAAAGAACTATGTGACCTCAGCGCCTTATGATCATACAACAGTGTGACTAGTTGGCCAATTCATTGTGGTGCACCATTTGTTCTAGTAATATTGTGTGTCCCACCAGTGTATCATACGACAACGAATATTCCCAACTAGCAATTGAAGGAATCTCACAACACAACACCACCATATGATCCGGCGGGGCCTTTGGTGGCTGGCGGATCATGCGGTACTAAATGCATCTACCAACTTTTCCAATAGCTAGCAACATTTTCACCCTCTATGTGAGTGCTGCCCCTAGCTCATTTGGAGATGCTCTTGGACCCCATTGTACCTAGCACTTATAGACAGGATAGCGATGCATTTGGAGAGCCACCAAAGCAAGAAGTGAGACTCGAGCGTTAGCCTGGAGTGCTATCAGTGTTCTTACTTGGGTTTCTGAAGTTGAAGCTTGAAAACTTGTTACTCTTGGTGTTTGCCAGCACCAAGGCAGTCCAGTGAAGGACTTGGTGACCTTCTACAGAACTATTGTGTGGAGGCTCAAAGCGCTTGTACATGGTATTGAGACCCACCATGCCAGAGTGGAGAACAAGTATTCACTAGCGGAGCGAAGTGTAACAAGTCTTTGCGACTTAGGTGCTGCAACATGGGGCTGTGGCAACAACCTGAGACCATGGGGAAAAATTCAGTTGTCTCATTGTCTCTCTTTCATACTTGGTTTAGTCTCATTGCTTGCAATTCTTGTTGAGTGACAACTATGATTCATGCTAGTATGTGGGTAGCATATATTTCATTCTTGTTCTTAAGGACCTTATTTTTGTATGAAATTTTGCTAAGGACATGGTTCGCTTGTTGTCTCTAAGGACTATCTACTTTGCTTTGTAAAAGAACTTAGGAGATAAGTTTTTGGAGTGTAGAATTTGCATAATCTTTGTAGAAGAACTCAGTACATTAGACGTAAGAAAATTATTATGGACATTTTTAACTGCACTTGAGATGAAAATCTAAATAAGTCCAGAAAACACATTTTGACTTATTTTTTTCCTAAATTGAGACATGCCGGTGTGGTACGCGGAAACTCTGCTGGGAGGCAAAATGCAAAAATGAGCCAACACGTTGGGCTTGGGCCAAGACAAAACAAAGCGGACTTTGGGCCGGGCCCAGCTGTTCAACTCTACACCGACGACGAGGTGACAGGGGAGCGGGGATGGAGAGGGACGCGGTGCTGCTTCGGGGCCGAGCGCCGTGGGGAGAAGGAAGAGCGCATGCCGCCGGCCGCTAGAGCAGACGGCCGAGGTGACGCCACCCTTCCCCACCACAAGCGCAGGCGCTCTCGAGGTGTCAAGGTATGGTCGCTTTGCTCCCCAGTTCTCACCTCACAGTCCAGAGTCCACAGCCTGTTATTCCGTTCCGATTGCAGCAGAAGCATAGTAGCCTGGCTTAGTTGAATAGTTGATGCATTGCAATTCGCAACAGGAGGGTCTGTGATTGAACTAGCCTACGAGGAATAGTAAAGCACAAATAATTAATGCCACGTATGTGCAATTTTAATACTGTAGATACAGGATCAATCCTCCTTTTAGCTTCAAAGCTTTAGGATCTTCTTTTGGGTATTTCTGATCTATTTTATTCTTCAGAGATAATCCTCTCTCTTTTTCTCCTCAGTTGCAGTTTTGTGTTTGATTTTATACAGACATGATCCCTTTTTTCCCCCTCAGTTGCACTTTTGTGTATCAAACACTATCCTTTTTCACTGACACTCTGACAGTAGTTCGTTAGATTGAATTTACAAGGCATCAAGCAATTAGGGGAAACATGTTTGAAATAAGAGAAAATGCTAGTGAGTTGATCAGGCATCGGTCAACAGACTAGCGTGGCATGAAAATGATCTGACCAAGACTCATATAGTTTGGCTTCATCTACCAGAAATTGCCATGACTTTTCCAAATTCCTTGTCTACTGCTGTGTGTGGATGGAATATTTTCAGGCTGTATTCCACCTGCTTTTCCTGTCCTTGTCTGTGACTTCAGTGCAACTCTTCCACATCTGTCGAAATGATGCCTTTTGGCCTATTGCGTTCAAACAAGGAACTAATTAGCTAGAGAGGTTCTCATCTTTGACGAAGACTTCTTGACAAGTTTCCCTTGCAGAGAGCTACCAGAGAGCAGAGACCATCATCAACACGAAACCTCAGCCCTCTCTATCAGGCTTGTCTACCACGTTCCCCCCTCTAAGCCTTTTACATCACAGTCTTCTCTTTGACTTTAAGTTCCCATCTTACCACACCGTGGGATTTTGCCCTCAAGACATATCTATAGACAGGAAAGGTTTTTAATTTCGGTATCGCCAAAATTTCGGCCACCACCAAAATTACCGAATTTCGCGAAATTCAGCCGAAATTTTGCCGAATTTTTTTTTGAGATTAGCACATGAAGTATGTTTTTTCTAAAAAAATTTGGATCTAAACAAATATTAGTATGATTTATGACTACATATCTATTAAATAGAAGAATATGCAATATAAACAATAGAAAAATATAAGATTAGAGTTATATAGCACATGTATTAGTGTATTAAAAATTTTCGGAGTTTTCTTTCGGCCACCACCGAAATTACCGAATTTCGTGAAATTCGGCCGAAATTTCGCCGAAATTTTGAACCCCGGACAGGATAGCTGTCCACCATTCACGTCCATGCAATTCAACCAAAGGTATGTTCTTCCTCCCATTAATTAGGCTAAATCATTTCCTGTGATCTAAAGTTCATGTGTCAAATCTCTCATCGATACTGTTATCTGTTGAATATCGTGAACAGGGAAGGGATACTGTAGATGCTTGAATCCTAATGGCGGAGATTGTCGGTTCTGCAGTTGTTCAGGAGTCAGTAAGCCAAATCGTATCTGGTCTGCTTCAAAAATATGAAGATAAACACAACTCAAATGCGTTCCGAAACCTTGAGAGGCTAGAGATGGCACACATCAGGCTGGAGGCTGTTCTTCAGACATCTGATAAGTGGGATATCACTGATACATCCTTGTTGCGTCGGCGTAGGAAGCTTAAGTCTGCTGCTCAAGAGTGTGATGACACGCTGCACAGATGCAGGCAGAGAATCCTAGAAGATGAACACATAGAAAAGGAAGTAAGCAATTCCTCCGTTCCTAAGCGGGTTGTGCATGCTACCAGGTCATTTGTTTCTTCTATCTTTAACCACGACAACGATGACTTGAATATATCCATTATTCAAAGATTTGAATATAATGGTTTGCTGATGGTGCTAGCGAGTTTCTGAGATTACTAGAGCTTGGTGGCACGCCACGGTGTCACATGCCCTTTGACCCTCTTATCAGGCACCTTTTTGCTGGCAAGATACTACAACATAGAATCATTAGGGCAAACAAATGCCCTTTGTTTTTACAGTTGGCTCCATTTTTTAGTGCAGAGCATGGAATTCAAGGTAGGCTTTACTTCATGCAGAAAGATCCTAATGAGCCGGATGATGATTTTTGCTTTACTGTAACACTGCAGCTTTCGGAGAGTACGGACATATTTGGGGTTGCAATTCAGTGCTTACATCTGTTTGCCCCTATTTTCATGTCTACGGTTGAAAATATTAGGAAAAGGCTTATGCAACTACCTACAGAAGACTTCTCGTGGGTACCATATGTTGATTCACACCAGAAAAAACATTGGGACAATGTTCACAGATTTGGCAGTCAATGGTTTCGCCCAAACCCATTATGTTGCAAGCAGCATGATAAGAACAAACTTTGTCATAGTTGCAAGCTAGACAAGTCATCTGGATTACCATATGTTTCTCTAGAACCGGTTATTTATGTAGGTCTGTGGTGCCAAGTCTCACTCTCAGAGTCCGACAAACAGAGGGCGTCACTGTCCGAATGTAGAAGTTCTCTACGTGATCATCCATATCAGAGAGCTGGAGTCCTCTTTGCACCACATGGCTCTTCAGAAGACATACTGCTTGTGGATAAGTTTCCTGCAATAACAGCAACCAACAGTGAGGAGCAACATTGTTTGCATCCTATCTTCACCTTGGGACAACTTGAGGGGATCATGCTGCCAAAAGCAATAGATTACTTCTGCCAGAATGAGGAAGCAACAGTCTACCAAATGCTTTGGAGGTCTAGGCATGGCACTGCATACATCCAGGTTGAAAGAGCAAGCATCTTCAGGCCAAGCACACGGCAAGCGTTTCATGGAGCTAAGAGAAAGAAGCTTTTGCAAGGACTGGATGAGGAGTTCGAGTGCCTGACATATTGGGTCTCTCGCTTCCTTGACTTATGGACTTCTCATGCATCCATCCAACTGGAAGGCTCGATCATGGACTGGTATCAGGAAGTAAAGGAAAAACACAAGCAGCACATCACTGCCGCCTGAAATTCTTGATCAGATATCTACCATGGATCGATCAGCATGTGATGGAGAAATAAAAGAATGGAGTGTTCCATGAAAGGAACAAAGTGTGGATTTACTGTTCATGACGAAGAACAGATCTGTCAAAACAACAGAGATCAAGTACATATATTTTCAGATCTCAAATTTGGGATAGATGCTCTGACTACAGGGTCAAGACTCAATACAGAAGCAGAGCTGCAGCATGGAGGAATTTATGCTTTAATGGCTAGCAACTTGTGTATAATGTTGGTCTTAGTTGAGAATTCTGTTCTGAAATCGGAATGTATGTGAGAATTCTGTATCGTGGTGTTTCTTAATCACCATTTGATCTTATAGTGGACGTTCCATGGTTATAGTATTATTCATCTAATTGTTACCTGTTTTGCAGGGCCAAGTCTTACCGTCAGAGTGCAACAAACGTTGGCCCTCATTGTCTGAACATCAAAGTTCTCTGAAGGATTCTGCATATCTGGAAGTTGGAATTGCCTTTGCACCCCACAGTTCAATAGAAGACATGCTTCCTGCAGGTACATGCTCTGCATTAGCAGCAGTTGAGGGTGAACGCCAGCATGTCTTGCATACAGACATTTCCTTGGAACAACTAGAAGAGATTATGCTGCCAAAAGCGATAGATTACTTCCACAAGAATGCCAAAGCAACAGTCCACCAAATGTTTTGGAAGTCTGAACATGGCACTGCGTACATTCAGGTGGAGAAAGCAAGCATATGCACACTCAGAACAAGCATGAGAACATCGGTAACTGTTGGGGGAGCTAGGAAACGAAAGATGTCGCAGCGACAAGATGAGGATTTTGGGAGTCAGCCAAATGTTTTCTCTCAATTCCTCAACCTTTGGGTTGCACATGCGCCATTGCAGCTGCGAGGCTCAATCGTGGACTGGATTCAGAAGGAGAAGGAAAGTCAGTTAGCAGCACAGCAGCTGCACCTGAAATTCTAATGCATGTACTACCATGGATGGATATGGGAAATGAGAAATGCAATACCGGAAATGGAATGTTCTTGGAAACACATCAAATAGTTGGAGTAATGATTCATAATTATGTATACGGCATAGCATGAGGGCTCACAATCTTCTATTGAAAGCACATCACTCATTTTCAATTTCGTATGATGCCACTTGTTTCTCGCAAGCTGATTTATTGCTTTACCATTATATAAACAAAATGTAATGTAATTTTAAGCAGTCAATCAGTAGTTATTTTGTTTATGAAATGTAACACGGCGGTTACCATGTATACTGCTCCTAGTACCTTTTTTTGCTCTCTTTGGGTACATAGTTTTCACTACATGTCTACAGATCACTACTACACAAATGATTTTGCGAGGCACTACCAAAACATTAACCGAGGCGGTCACAAAATCCAACCGCCTCGTAAAATGCCTCGGATTTATGGAGGCAGACGTTTTAATTTATGGAGGCGGTCACAGTTGACCGTCTCGCAAAATACATTTACTGAAGCAGACATTTTATTTACCGAGACGGTAAAAAATGTCCCCCTCGGTAAATCATTTATGGAGGCGGGCATTTGTAAGGCGTTCGCCTTCGTAAATCAGGCCCAGCTCACTAACACACGACAACCCATTACTGTGTTCATGTATATATATGTGACTTAGGGTTTGGGAGTGCACACCACAGCGGTCCTCTCTCCCCCCCACCGCCGCACCCCACCTCTCCTCCTCTCTCGGCTCTCCCTCACCAACCGCCGCACCCCACCTCTCTTTCTCCTCTCTCGGCTCTCCCTCACCCACTGACGCACACCACCGTCGCGCAAGGCCCCCTCTCTCTCTCCCTCACCAGCGGCCACTCTCTCTCTCCTTTCGCGTAGGGCCCTGTCCTACGGCGGCGGGAGGCGCTCACGCCCCAGCTGGCCACTCGCGCTAGGCTCCGACGGTGGCTCGCAAGGGCAGTGGGGCGGGGCCGGGGAGCCCTCCACCGCAGGCTCGAGAAGGGAGGCACGGATGGGGGGCGCGGGGTACCTGCAACGGTGGCATGAGCTCGGTGGTGTGGCGGCGTGGCTCGATCCGGTGGAGGGGTGCGGCGGCGGGCTCGTTTCGGTGACGGATCCGGCGAGGAGGAGCCCTGTAACACCCGTGTTTTACATCATGTTAAAATGCACTAAAAATTTAAACTTTTTAAAACTTTACAACAAATTAAAACTTGATTAGTTTAATTCCTGCAAAAACCGATTTGTAAATAAAATGCTTTCCAAAAACCCTGTATCAAAACTCACCATATGCATTTAGGTTAGAATATTGGAGTGACTTGAATGCTTGCGTGATTGCTTCAATGCCTGAGTGTCTGATTGAATGCTTGATTGCTCGAATGCTTGTGTGGTTGCTTTTCTAGAATTTATTTGCGGCACCAAAATAACATTTCTTAATCATCAATTGCATTCTTGAATTATTTAAAACCTTTTCATTATATTATAGTAGTAGAAAATGCATCATAGATATAAACAATATTTTATTCTCTGCTTAGCTAACTAGGAATTATAATAGCCATCACATTAGTGAATTATAGATTTAATGCTCCCTTCTCAAATTACATTTTAGTTAAATTAAATCCTTCACTGATTTATAGATTGCAAACGTATTTCGTAATTAGTCTCTAATATTTAGAAATACATCATGCATATTTTGCTATATTCTCTTCTTAATTATCTAGGCCATCTCACTATTAATTATATGGTTAATCTTTCTTCTTAATTTGCATCATAGTTACAATAGGATATTTAGAAATATGAAATCATTACTTTTAATCATAGTCATGAAAGGATATATAATATTTAGGAGATACGTCATGAATATAAAAGTATTGCATTACATTTCTTGATTTACATCATCTATCTATTAATTATAGTTAGAAAATACAAATATATTATATTACATTCTTTGATTTTCTAGTGACCAGAAATACTCCATCTATCTATTATTTACAAAATAAATAATGCATATACACATATACATACATGGTTACATTAGAAATACAACATCTACTCCTGTTATCTACAAAGGAAATTCATTTTTTTCATATAAACGAAAACGTCTTCTGTGTACATGGGCCGAGCCCTCCCCTCTCCCATGCTGCCCAGGCGGCAGCAAGCCAGCGGCCCAGCTTGGCCAGGTCGCAGCGCGCCACTGCGTCTTCTCCGCGTCGCCACCGCGGGAGCTCCGCGTCCGCGCTGCCGCCTCCGAGCACGTGAAAGCCGTTGCCGGAGATATTTCCTTCGCGCACCGACCTTCACAGCTGGCAACCTTATCTCCTCCCGGATTTCCGTCGACACGTCGCCGCTGCCGTACGAGCGTCACCGCTGGCCGCCGGAGATATTTCTCCCGGCCAACCGCCTCACGCCGCCTATAAATGGCCGGCGCCAGTGAGCTCACGAGGGCGTTTAGGTTGCCGGTGGAAGCTGGGACGAACGACGCCGCCATTGCCGTGCTCTGCTCTGTTCTCCCTCTACTCTTTCCCTTCCCCTGCTTCTTCCCCCTTCTCCCCCCTCTGCTCTGCTTCTCGCGCCGCGCGTGGACACGACCAAGGCCGGCACGAGGCCTGCAGTACCGCGCCGAAGCTGACGCAGTCCGAGCCGATGCCGCCCTGGCCTTGCTCCACCACCGACGCACCTCCTCTGCTCCCTCTTCTTCCCTCCCTCTCCTCCTCTGCTCGCCGGGGCCGAGCACCGCCGCGCCGCGCTCGCTAGTCGTCGCAGCCGCCGCCGCCGCCGCCGCCATGCTCTGCTTCGCCTCGCTCTCCCTCTGCCCTGCTCTTCGCCCAGCGCTGCCGCTGCCGCCGCCCTGCCTCCACCGCGCCAAGCCGCCGCCGCCGCCTCACCCGAAGGCGAGCACCGCCAGCACTCGCCTCCGCCCACCGTAGTCGCTGCCCAGCGTTTCCTCCTTCGCTCCGCCCTCGCGCCCACCCCTCGATGTGGCCACCAGCCGCCGACGCCGCAGCCATGCGCCGCCGCCCTGCCCTGCCCGCTCGCCGAGCTCCCTCCCTCACCCCTGCTCTTCCTCTCCCTCTCTCTTTCTCTTTCTGTCCACACGGAACGGATTGGAGGCGGACGCGTTCACCCGAAGGCACCCAGAGCCGAGCGCCTGGCCACGTCGATACGGCCAATAAGGCTCGCTCGGAGACCCACTGCTGCCCAAACCTGAAATAGTTCTCAACACAATATTTATAACCTACAACAAACTACCCATATGAAAAACTCATTTTAAATGCCAACAAAGACATAACCCAAACCTAAATATCCTATTTTCTAGAGATCTATTTACAGAAAGAGTTGTTTTCTAGATCTTTTTGTCGGAGAAGATCAAAAATATATATTGAACACTTTACCTGTAGCATTGTCCAAAGGATGAATAGATCTTGTATTTTGAGTTCGCGGTCGTCGGACCTGTGGCCCCGCTGGTCAGTGCCTTGACCGGCTCCCTCCTTCTGTCCCTCCATGGACCGGGTGCACGTGAACCACAGACAGAGTTCACAGAACGGTTCTCGGCACAGTACTGGCCAGCCTGGACCACTGACCAGGCCCACGCGTCAGCCACCAGCCCAGGGAGAAAATGCAATGTGCCTACGGGATTGTACACAGTAGATTAAAAGGTAAGCTTTTAACTATAGAAAATTCCCAGAAAATTACTAAAATGAACTAGAGTCACCCTAGATCATACCTAGATAATTGCCACTCATTTTCATTAGATAAAATTGTAGAAATAATTGTGCATGTTCATTTCCATTTGCGATTAGCCGATAAACTTTAATAATTTATATCTTTTTCATCGTAATTCCGAATTCCGTAATTCTTTCACCATAAATCTTCTAAAATGAGAAACGACACTGCACAAATAGCATAGTTGCAGCAAGACAATTTTTGAATTAACCATCGCTCATCCAGATTTTATATGTTATCACACACCTATCAAATGGTTGTCACTGCTTGAAACTGTTATATTTTCTTTTGATCATCTAGTAGTGGATCCAGTGGGATTTCATTTTGTTTCTCGTAGTAATGGTGTGAACGGAGAGGGACAGAGAGGGAGAGGAAGAGCTAGGGTTAGGCACTGACCATCCAGTGAGTAGGGGATCCGGCCATCAGGTTCATCGGTGAAGTTCTGCGCTAGGCAAGAATTGGTCGGAGAAGAGAGAGCGACGCAGATGAAGACTGTGGTGACGCGCAGTGCGATGGGCGGCGGCGGTGCTTCCGTCCACCGGCTGCGCCCCTCAGTTAGATCGGAGTAGGGTTTCTAGGTGGGGCGTATGGCTCAGGCGAACCTCGTACAGAGCCGTCGACCCCACCTCTATTTAATGCGCAGTGTGACGGGGGCCCGCCAGCCATAGATGGACTGGGCGCCCCCGATCAGGGCGCGAGGTCAAGGCCCAAGTGGCCGTTGGGCCACTGTGGTTGGGAGATCAAACCAACATTCTCCCCCTTGATCTCAACTCATACTTTAACTTTAAACTTTGACTTTAATCATTTTCACTTTTATTTGTTCCATCACAGATTAGTGCATAGAGCATGCTTCATCGTCACGGTCAATTACCGATAGACTTAACACTACAATACACATCTCTGCTCAAATGCATTTCTTTAACTTTGGGCCCTTTGTTGTCCGGAAATCATAGGCTATACCATAAACCCATGTCGACTGTGTGTTCTCCAAACACACTGGGTGGTAAGCCTTTTGTACGCGGATCCGCAAGCACTTGCTTGTTACTTATATGTTCAATACTTTTAGTATGATTCCGGACTTTCTCCTTCACAACGTACAACTTTAATGTCAATGTGTTTGGCAAAGACACTTGACCCGTTGTTATAGGAGCGAACTACTTAAATGGTTATTGTTTGTTACATACCATTATCAATTCCGGTGTAAGTTCTTTTAACCACTTCGCTTTGTCCTTTAAGCCTCATATCAAGCTATACGGTGGGTATGCATCCT